ATATTTTGTAGATATAAACTCATCTAGCATATTATTCAACTATAGTATGCATTTATAAATTTGCCAAAACTTTTGTAAACTTATCTAAAACTTTAACTTTTAAAATAGTTTATTAGACTACAAGACACTACAATTATTTTGTCATATCTATTGTAGTCCCGAAGTAATCGTCACCCAAAGAGACCAACCTTTGGGAATACTTTGGGTCATGTTATTCAATGAGAATCAATATATAAAACAAACAAACACTTAAAAATTTTTAAAGTTAACGTGTCAGGGTCTGTAATTTATGGTAAATATTTGTTTAATTTTCATCAGGTAAAATGTCTAAAGTATTTTTGAAGATTAAGTAATTCTGAAACAATTACTTTGGGATCACAAAAGATATAAAAAAAATTAATGTGATGTCTTGTAGTCTAATAAACATAGTTTTAATTCTATGTCCTGTTTTATAAACTTATTTCACACAATTAATTTAGACGTTACAAAAGTTTGGCGGATTTATAAATCCATTCTATAATTTAGAAAAATATAATATTTACAACTTTTAACATTAAGAATATTTAAAATTAAAAATTAGTAAAAAAAATATAAATTGCAAATTTCAATCTTGAGTTTAATTAAAGTAAATTTATTTATTCTGTAATTTTTAAATAAATATTCACAAAAATTATAATTAATTGTGTTAAGATTTGTGTTCATGCTGTTGTTTATTTGTTTATACCAATTATACTAAAAAGGGTGCTTGGTAATATTAGTAGAAGCAAAGGATTTTCATATACTGTAATTATATTAACCCCTGTTGTGAGTAAATATGAAACCCCTTTAAGTAAACCATAAGTGCCGAAAGGATGGGTTTATAACCAAAAGCAATAATATCTCATATTTAAAAGGTTTGCTTCAACTCGTGCTGCACTCAAACATTCATTTAATTGACCACATATTCAATACTGACCACATATTTAATTTACTGATAATTTTTATGAATAATTGTAAACTTAAAAGTAACATAGATTTGTTTATCTATTATATATAAATTAAAATATAATTAAATATTATAGAAATATGTGATATTAAAAGACAGCTGACTATTGAGCTCTGCCTCCAAGCAAAGAGTGGCCGATAGAGTAATATATGGGAAAGGATGGGAAGGGATGGTAAGGATGCGCCAGAATCGCCAAAATTAACTTTCCTTTGAGGGCATCCCGAAAGACGGCTGACGCGGGTCTTCCAGATGTGTACAGACTTAATGATCCGAATGTATTGTAAGCAAAAAACACACATTTTATATCATTTGAATGGTTTTAATATAATAAATATGATCCTCACATACGGAATACACAACTTTTGGTGCTTTTTGTAAAAATAAAATTTATGTATTTCTATAACATTTAAATAATATTTTTATTCTAAAAAAGATCTGAAACTGCATTCAAAGTCAAATTAGTCTATAATGCGAAACATATTCATGTATTTTTATAATTCTTGTTTAGTGACAAACATATGACAAACAATTATATATTGCTTTAAAATTCTTGATAAAACACATATTTTCTAAGACTTGAATGTGTTTTCGGCAAACATAATAGCATACCATATATACAAGAATAATAAGTACAGTATTTGTATTTTAAATGATATATTAATAGTTAGGGTTTTCTAACCAGACATCAGTTGGTACTGTATTTTGATGACAATTAGGTATTCTTTATATTTAAATATACTTTAAACAAAAAAGTTATTCATTTTTAACTCGTATTCAATGACACGATTTTATTGCTATATTAATGTAATTTTATTATTCAAAGAATAGGAACCTAATCACCAGAATATAAAATACATTCCGGATTTTTGCTTCACTTAATATGCAAACGAGTCTCTCTCTCTCTCTCTCTCTCTCTCTCTCTCTCTCTCCTTTTATTTCTCATATACCTATTAAATCATGTCATCCCTATTACTACTGAACATAAAAACATAATTTCAACAAATGTCTGCACAATCATTGCCTTTAGTATTGATCATAATATGCTGTAAATGTAACTAAAGAATTGCTGTTAACAATTAATTTGGACTATATTTACAGATAAACTACAAAAACACGCAATGAGACAGGTTTTAGTAAATATAAAACTATATTTTTATAATAAGCTATCATAAGAAACGGCCTCTCATTTGTTTTATTAGACTTTCAAACACAGCATTGGATGGCAATGTAGTGAATGTGTTGGATGTGCGCCACCCTCTCCACCGTCGAGATGATGCTTATTCGCCAAACAAGTGGTGTATAAATGAGTGAATGTGATGGCGAGAGATATGCTGTGTATACTGTATAGAGATGTATATAAGTGATGCCGCATCGCAACCAACAGATGCGATGCCACTCAAAACGCATGTACCACACTGTATACCATACCCATCACCGGTACTCTCACTGCCAACTGCTTAAGAAATGAATTATATTGTCGATCACTCCCTCATACACTCTCAGTCTTGAGCACTGAATCCCAGCCTTCTTTACTCTCTGTGCTCTTTTAAGTTATTTTTCAATATCTTAAGGTTCAGTAGTTATTGAATTGTAGAATCTGTAATATTTTAGTGCAAATTCTGCATTAATGATGTGTACTTCAAGCTTCTCGTCCTTAACCGGTATGTCTTAAATTTTAGTTTTAATTTTCTTATCTATAGTTTAAAAACGTTTAATTATTTTTATACATAACAGACCCTCAGGGATACGGAGAAGTGAATCAATTAGGCGGTGTGTTTGTTAACGGCCGTCCACTACCCAATGCTATTCGGTTACGTATTGTAGAGTTGGCACAGTTAGGTGTCAGGCCTTGTGATATAAGCAGACAATTACGTGTATCCCACGGATGTGTATCGAAAATATTGGCCCGATATCATGAAACTGGGTCTATACTTCCGGGAGCTATTGACGCATCGCAACCAACAGATGCGATGCCACTCAAAACGCATGTACCACACTGTATACCATACCCATCACCGGTACTCTCACTGCCAACTGCTTAAGAAATGAATTATATTGTCGATCACTCCCTCATAGACTCATACACTCTCAGTCTTGAGCACTGAATCCCAGCCTTCTTTACTCTCTGTGCTCTTTTAAATTATTTTTCAATATCTTAAGGTTCAGTAGTTATTGAATTGTAGAATCTGTAATATTTTAGTGCAAATTCTGCATTAATGATGTGTACTTCAAGCTTCTCGTCCTTAACCGGTATGTCTTTAATTTTAGTTTTAATTTTCTTATCTATAATTTAAAAACGTTTAATTAATTTTACACATAACAGACCCTCAGGGATACGGAGAAGTGAATCAATTAGGCGGTGTGTTTGTTAACGGCCGTCCACTACCCAATGCTATTCGGTTACGTATCGTAGAGTTGGCACAGTTAGGTGTCAGGCCTTGTGATATAAGCAGACAATTACGTGTATCCCACGGATGTGTATCGAAAATATTGGCCCGATATCATGAAACTGGGTCTATACTTCCGGGAGCTATTGGCGGCAGTAAACCTAGAGTTACCACCCCTAAAGTGAGTACTGTATAGTCTCTCTCTCTCTCTCTCTCTCTCTCTCTCTCTCTCTCTCTCTCTCTCAGCATTCTTGTGTCTAAACATATGTGACATTTAATTCAAAAACAAAAAAAAAAGTGAACAGTTGTGCTCATATGAACATATTATGGGGACAGGGGTGAGGGTTATATGGGGTATAAGCTGTGTTCAAGTGATTGTTGACCTCTCTCTCTCTCTCTCTCTCTCTCTCTCTCAGCATTCTTGTGTCTAAACATATGTGACATTTAATTCAAAAACAAATCTTATTAATTTAAAACTAAATTTAAAAAAAATAATGTTACTATTACTCTATTTTAAAATAATTACTGCATGCCATACAGTTATCTTTCAATTCTATCAAAATATTTTCTCATGTCCAACATAAAATTATGGAAATATAAACTAGTTTTGCATCAGGCAAACCTTAAACCTTTTAAAGCCTCTAATTAACAGTTATGTTTTATGTAATTAGTTAATTTTAATAATTGGCAAGTTAAAACTTTATAAGCTTTCTAAAAACAATGAAACTATCTGAAACACGCATCCATTTAATTTAAGCAAATTGTTCATTTTAACATAATATTTGTTATAAAATTTACTAAATGTAAATTACGGATTAGATTGTCTTTTTTAGTAAATTTAAGTTATATTGTATATAAATATAATACAATAGATAAATATTATACAGTGAATAAAAAAGTAATAACAACTTGGTCCACTTCAGGAATATCATAAGGAATAAAAATTTGAAATATATATAATATAACCAATTTGCAAATAATTGCCATAATTTAGTAAAATTCTTTAAATATAATAATGAATATGATGTAATTTACATTATATTTTTATTATAAACACAAAATATTTATTTTTTTCTATACTATTTTAAGATTTATGGTTTACATACAATTTATAAAGATATCAATAGAAAGTGTGTCCAAAGTCTATATTTATTTGTATGAATGAATTTCTTATTTCATGTTGAATAATAAAATTTTTGAATG